AGTTGCGCAATTATTTATGAGCGCGGTCTGTCAGCAGCGCTACCGAAGACATTTGGCCGCATTCATACTCTGCGACTGTGGAGACCCGGCTTTCGGGAAACTCGACGATTTGAGAGATTGCGTGGCAGGCAAAGTACAGTATCAGTCTGACTATCCGAGAGAGTTGAGCGTTATAGCGTTTCGGGAGAACGCGGAACGCCGAAACTCCGCAATCGCTAGCGGACGGCGCCGATGATACTTATCCTGTTCGCGCAACCTCTCGAACCACCATCTCCAAATCAGTCGCAAGAACATGAGCGCGCTCCTGGCAGTCGTTTATACTGTTTTTTGGCCGCTCACAAGGCAATCGATGTATGTATGTGATCCGTGGGTTAAAGCGTAAGGAAAAGCCAAGGTCGTGAAGCACTCACAGGGTTTGATACTGTTTCCCGAATAGGACAGATGTGTTTCTTTACAGAAACTCGAGAACAAGAGGAAATGGATAGTGAAACAGAGAAATCCACTTCGAAGAGTTCGATGAGCTCCACATCGAAGAGCTGCGACTCGAAATCGGACATAGATGTTAAGGTATGCCTCAGGGTGATGATGGAAGGTGGTACACTTTCTCTGCGGATGCCAGGGCTTGTCAGGAAGGGTTGGGTTCGGCGCGGCGCCTGCTCGTTGTTCACTAGTTGTGAAAGCTGGCAAGCAAATACAACTGGTGGAATAGCTACGTCGCCTCAAACCCACGCTTCTTCTGGCACGCCTCAGCATCCGCAGCGAACAAGAATTTAATGACTTAGAGTAATAAAATTGCTGCGGAGTAGTCGTAGCGAACAAAGGAAGTTACTGAAAGCCCGGCGTTCAACAGTGGATCAATATAACCATTACGAGTGATTCGCTCAGAAAGCCAGAGAAATTCTTACACCGCAAAGTCACCTATTCTCGTGTCTGAGCGCCTTCAAATTTGCGATCGCGCGATCGGATCGCTCGACTGGATCGCGCGATCGCGAAGCATGAAGGCACTCTTGCGAGCTATGGACGTAGCCTTTCATCAAGCTTCTTACCTATATGTTCTTGACAATTCTTCCTGTAATGCGAGTATTTCGCTGATTATTTCTAGGAAACTTGCTGTGACTGCTGTTCAACTGCGGTTCATGCCCACTGTATTCGTACTCTTCTGACTTTAACTACTCTTATGCGTGTACACTGGTCGAGTTGGAACTCTATATTCTACCATCAACTGATTACGGAGCGTTGATCATCATCCCTGTAAACTACTATTGACTGGAATGATTCCACACAATATGCTGCTATCTCAATATTCTGCTATCCAGAAGCCTCATGGTGGTCTGGCTTTTCGAAATACCTTTCAAAGAGTTTCTTGAACCTTTCGGAGACCTCACTTTTACTCCCATCCATTCAATCTTCCGGATTGTTTTGTTTTTTCGGTTATCATGCCGAGTGTGAAGTGCATGCATCACGATCCACGCGCATTTTCCTATTGTTGCCGTCATTAGTCAGGGTTCTATCGGCGAAACTGGTCTTGTTTGTATTTATAGAAAAAGGTCTTATTGACCCATGCGGTCGATTGTGTGGCGAGCGAGCGTTGCACAGTCTACTTCGTTGCACTCTCCTCGCTCTGTGCGGCCACTGTTGGTTTTCACTACTCGCCTTCAGTGACACTCCTTTTAATTTCTCACGTTTTCGTAACTGATATGGCAGCTACTCCGCTTCAATAATAGTTCTTGATCTGATAGCTTAAAGTTTTTTTGCACTATCTAGATGGTTCGCTCATTAGGTCATCCCAATCGAAAACGTGGAGACATATAGAATGGCAAGAAAGCAAAGATAGAGCTGCGAGAGAGCACTTTCGTTACGTATCTGTGAAATTTGGTAACTGAGCTACGGAAGATTTCTCAAGAAACTGAAAAGAAGCCCGAGTGGTCAAAATCAGCGCCGGATTTTCGAATCAGGCGTCATAAGAGGAAAGTGCGCTGCTCAAATTTGACCTGTGCTGGACCAGTAGTTGCGTATAATGGTGTTCTCAAAATGAAATACGGAAGATTTGGTTCAGGAAGTCCCAAGAAGGAAGAACGAAAAAAGTTGTGGTCGAGGAGGGCCCCATAATGTTCATCCTGCACAAGAAAAGCGGGTGGATGAAGTCAAGGCTGAATATCTGATCACAGAGCCTGGACCTTGTCGAGCTTCCCCGCGAGACTGACATCCTGCTGCAACTGCTGCCCGAGTTATGTCCGATAAATTGAGGATGGTCAAGAGGGTGTGCGCATGGGTGCCTTACTTTCTTTTGTAGAAGCAGGAACGCGGAACTGATTTGATGTCTCTAGCGGCAATTTTCCCCACATAAGACGTCATTCGCCACTGTGTAAACGCATCGTGGCCGTTGAAGAAATATGGGTGGTCTTGAACTCCGAGCCGAAACTCACAAGCGTCAATTTTGTATGAATGCAGATGAGAAGCCGCCCGAATTCTGGCCATGAGGAGTTACGAGGGCCCAAGCGGATAATCATTATGGCAGATTTTTGCACTGTGGCTTTTAGGCGGCTCTATACAGGAACAGCATCGTCGCTGTCGGTGTACAGTCCTCATCATTGCGGACCGGTGGGGCGTGTCAGCCAGTATGAGTGTGCACACTGTTGAAGCCGTTCTCAGCCTTTTTGTTGAAACGCGTATGCGACAAAAAGTGGTAGAAAACGAGTAATACGAAGGATATAATACAGTAATGTCACTTGCCCGCTTCAACAACTGGTGCAGAACGACTTTGGCCCCGCGCCAAACGCAGCCGCACTGAACCGCCCCGACAGTACGTAATGATGAGGACTGCATATTGCCTGTTCCTCGACAATCAGACCGACAAATGGATGTCACCACACAACTACAAGAAGGCCACATTGCTCGTCACAGTGCCAAACTCCCGAGTAACGTATTATAGGGCAGTGCTGGGCACAAACAATACTGAGACTGGGTTCAATCGCCTTCGCCCGACCTACAGCCGTGCTATTTCGTCTGTTCTGGTCATTAGAGGGTACTGTCCAACGGCAAACACTAGGTCGATTTTTCGATCGCTGAAAATGGCATCGACAGCAATTTGTTCGCAGTTGTTGAAAATCGAAGTTGCCAGGGTCCAACGCTCTCGAGGCACTAGGAGCGGGTCATTAGCAAAACAGGAAAAAAACGATGGTCGGAATCTTCTCAGATGATTGATGATTCATTTGCATTCCAGTTTAATAGATACAATCCGATAATTGAAGGTCATAGCTATACCTGTGATACCGGCATAAACTTAAAGAAAGGGAACTTCCATCTCGAATCGACTCCAGGCCCCTCCAATCTAACTTTCTATCCCCCTGGGACGTTGAATGGCTACGGTATTTATCTGGGAGGATGAAATGACTGACCTGTTCATTGAGTGCCCCGCAGGTCATTGTCGTGGATGAACAGTGCAGTCAAGACACGCGCCTGTTTCTCTGGCAAGAAAGCAAGCTGTTGCGAAAATGCTCAGTGCAGGTTCAGTTTTTCCCCGAAATCACTGACCCTCACGATTCCAACTACTCTAGGGACAGAACCTAATCGAAGAACGAGTTCTGGTGCTCAACGGTGGAATACAGTCATAGGTGGTGGGATATGTAATTGATCAGGAGTCAAAAGATGTGATCAACGCCGAGGCTCAACCAGTTAGCGCCCTTTTTAGTCCTATTGTAGGATACTTGCGGAAAATGCGGGCTGTCCATCTTTTCCAGAATATATGAAGTTCTGTACTAGCTCCTATCATTAGAGAGTCGTTATCGTTTTTTGATTTTTCTGTCAGTTGTTATCGATTATCATCCTTCGGTAACACTATTTTGTGGCGGCCGTGGTTAATATCGTGTTTCTCTTCGCAAAATAATTCCTCCAGTACTCGTATTTCGCACGCTTCGGCTATCTAATGTTCTTCGATCAATGGTATGTGCTGAACCACTGTTGATATTGGTTTTTGTGTTCCTTTTCGTGTTCTTCTTTCGTATCAAAAGTTGTTTTGTTTAGCTTTCACATAAATGAGCTCTGATTTGTTCCAGGCAACCAGGATGACCGTCTCTGCTGAGCTTCGCAATGATCTCGAGGATGCTGCTAACCGTATGCGTATCTCAGCCATCGAGATGACATGTGCTTCAAAGAGTGGACATCCGACGTCTTCTACCTCTGCAGGTGGGCTTTGGCTTAAATTTTGCAGTGTCCGGTTGTAAGTATAGCGTAGTTCGCCGCGGACGGCTGGGCGTGTCAGTGGGATGAGTTTGGCGCGATGCCACACTCGTTCTTCATCAGTTTTTAAAGCGAGCAAATGATATGACTGTATCATATCGTTCGCATTACTTACTCGTTTTCCACCGTTTTTTGTCGCATGTGCTCTTCAACAAGAAGGCAGAGAACGGTTCGATGGTGTGACACTCATACTGCCTGACACGCCCATCCGTTCGCAGCGAACTAGAGTGTAGGTATCTTCGCAGAAGAGAGCCTACCTATTAGCTTGCCTAAGATCAGTAGCAATTCATTATAGTAGCCTAGTGAGATGTGAAGCCGCTTTCGTACTTTGCGACTGAAGGGTACGGTACCGATCGGGCGCCGGTCGCTAGCGATTGCAGATATTCGGCGATCCGTGCATCGCCGATCGATACCCATGCGCCGTAGACGTGCAATCGCCAGGTCGCCTAAAACGCTGGATCGCCGATTCTCCCCAGTCGCCAGAGATACCTATAAGTTCCTCGACGCACAGTCTCTTGAAACGCCACATTTCATATCGTCAGTCGCAAACCATGAGCGTGGCCATGGGCAGCGAGTGCGTTCCCGCTCTACTCAGACAGATCCCTGAATTTTGCAGCTGAGGTAATGTCGACGCTCTTTTTCCATGAAATGAAGTACGATGTCGCCAACCCCAAATCAGCAAGCGCCGATCGTTTCGTCCTGTCGAAGGTAGGCCGCTGTTTGTGCTAGCTTTCCTTTTATAATGTGAGTATATTTGATTGAAAAACCTATGCGGACATTTAGGGTCATGCCTGTCCAATCCTCTATGCAGCTTGGGAAGAAGCTGGCCTTCTCTCCAAGGAGCAGGTCATGTCTCTACGTAAAGTCAACTCTGACGTTGAAGGGCATCCGACACCTGTACGTTTCCCTTTCATTATACAGAAATGGTATAGGTCAGAAATGCTGCCATAAGCCAAAAATTTTGAATGATGGAGTGAAAGAAAATATGCGAAGGAAGAGTGATTGCTTTGTATGTGCTTCTTGTTCAAGCATAAGAAACCAGTTCGTTTGAGAAACCTTGGTGCAAAATAGAATGCAACAGGCGGATGGTGCAAAATAGAATCCAGCAGGAGTATTATAGAAAGCGTTCATACTTTACGTGGGTTTTGAGCGACTTCGAAAGTGTAGATGTCTGTCCAGCGTTCTGAGTACGCACCAGCGCATGCTAACGCTCTGGCGTTTGAATGCTAGCTATATTCTGAATCCGTAATCCATACTTTACATTCCTACACACTGCAAACGCTGGCGTACGCTGAAAACGCAGCCGTACGCTCAAAAAGCTACCGCAAAGTATAAACACATTCTCCACCAATAAGTTGACTAGTGCTTAGTAGGCCTTTCAGATTTTCAGGGCACTCATACCCCTTGATTTGGAAGCTTCTCGGTCGCCTTAGATTGATGTTTCCATTTAGGATGGTTTCTCGAATATTTGTTGTTGTATTTTTCAGCGCCTTAACTTTATCGATGTAGCTACGGGCTCACTTGGACAAGGCCTGTCCTGCGCCGCTGGAATGGCTTACGTTGGAAAGTACATCGATAAGGTATTTTGACTCTTGTCTGTTAAGCTTATTTTTGGTTAGGCTGTTCGTTATAGTTTTGACGTTTTTTTTGGTTGTTTTAGGCCAGCTATCGTGTGTTCTGTTTGCTGGGAGATGGAGAAACAGCAGAAGGTTCGGTGTGGGAAGCGGCAGGTTCGTGATTACTTCGGTCTCTGATTGATTACTTGAGGGCCAAGCTCTACATTCTCCGAATTCCTAGTCCTTGCCATGTGTGAGAAGAGCGAGTCCCAGAGCGCAGTGCTACGTTATCCGTTCATAAGGGAGTATGTATCGATAGAACCACGCGACGTCAAGTGGTCCTACCGATACACGCTAGTTAGGACCAGTCTGTGCGAATACCGTATGCTTGTAATGGAACGCGAGTGTGTGATGTCTCAGAATTTTGTTTAATCGGTGATTCACCATGTTGTGCTCGCTTGTTATTATGATGCTCGCTTTTTATATAGCACGTTACTAGTGAGTTTGATTAGTAGGACCAACAAAGAATTCTAAACAAACGAACAGAACAGTTGAAATTTTAACATGATCAGAGCGAAATGTCGCGCCCATCATACAACAGTGCCGTAATATGCTTAGAAGAAAAATATATAGAAACATGCGTATGTAACAGATCAACACATATAAAAAAACTGACAAATGAAGGTATTCAAACATTTACAAATGAAAGTATTCAACAAAAAAAAACCTAGGAAAAACCTTCGTTCTCCATGGCTCAAAAAGCAATTCCGTTGAGGGCTGCCCTGTAAGGTAGTCACTACATTAAAGGCAATGTGCACGATAAATCGCTAAGACGAGTAGGATTTATACACCTGGCAGGACGGAATTCCGCGCCCCTGAACAGGCGCTGCGTAGCGCCTTTCTCCAAAGAAGGTACCCTTATAAGGCCCTGTCGAGCTACAACATATCGACCCGAGCGCCCCGGCCACCCGCAAATGGACGACCGTGCCCGTGCTCGTACTGCTTCATTTGCTAAGTAAAATATGAAGCGAAGGGATTGATATGAAGCGGCTGTGGTGCTGCATGGATATATGAGTACATACGTGCAGCCGTACCTACCGTAGCGGTTATTGGCAAGATGCCTACGGGGAAACTCGTCCGAAATTGCTTTTTGAGTCATTAAGAACAAGGCTTTTCTTCGCAGGTTTTTGACCGTTTCACTTCGTCTTTCGCCACATTCTCACTGTATAGCACTCTGCTAGCGTTTTAGAGCGAGTGCCAAGTTATCGTGCCATGTGCTTTTAACTCACTAATAATGTACTATAATAAAAAGCTTAATCACATTGGAATATCAAGCGAGCAGAATCATGGAACAAACGACATTGTGAGTCATCGCACACTTGCACTCCATTACAAGCATACGGTATTTGCACCGCCACAATCGTGGTCCTAGCTGCCGTCTCCCTTTAGCTAGCCACACGCCTACCATAGCCGCGCGCTTCTTAGCTTAATCACATTGGAATATCAAGCGAGCACAACATGTGAATCATGGAACAAACGACATTGTGAGTCATCGCACACTTGCACTCCATTACAAGCATACGGTATTTGCACCGCCACAATCGTGGTCCTAGCTGCCGTCTCCCTTTAGCTAGCCACACGCCTACCATAGCCGCGCGCTTCTTTGCGCTTTCTAGCTTCTGGTTCGGATGCAAGATTCAGTAGAAAGTGCACTTTACATTACATTTCGAAAGATAGAGAATGTCTCCGTGATTGCATGTTGGACGTTTCAGCGTTCTCCTCACATTACAAGCTCGACAATTTGGTCGCTATAGTAGATGTCAATCGTTTGGGTCAGTCTCAAGAAACTTCACTGGGACATAAAGTTGAGGTGTATCAGGTAAAGTTCGATGATTATGCTTTTACGTGGTCAGAATGATTCGTTCGGAAGAAATTTGCGCGTAGTACGCTTAGTGGGGGCATCAAACGGTATTAGCAAAGCCTGTAAAGGTCAGCTCGTGAAGACCTGTCAATACTTGTTACCGATGTGGCTCACTTGTACTATTTTGTAGCTTCAGAAGAATTTACAGTACTTACCAAAAATGAGACCTCTTGGTTTACATGAACTTGTAAAATTAATTACCGGAAGTGCAGAATTTCTCATCAAACCGAACAGCTCCGAAATTTATTCTTTTAAAGCACTTTGGCACAGCACATCTCAAACTGCCACGCGATGTAGACCTAGTTCAGGCTCGATTTGCTGCTTTTGGCTTCAATGCGATCGTTGTGAATGGCCATGACGTAGGTGAGCTGATCAGTGCTTACGAGACGGCCAGGAACACTAAAGTAGGTTTAATGAAAGCGTTTCATATAGGTTTTTATAATTCGTAATTTATGTGTTTCTACTTCGCTTTAGGACAAACCGACAGCAATCATCGCCAAAACATTCAAAGGTCAGGGTATTGAAGGGATTGCTGATCAAGACAACTGGCATGGAAAGCCTGTTCCAGCTGACAAAGTGAGTTGGAAGAAGTATGGTAGTTGTTTCATTTTGTTGCTGTACTACCTTGTCTGTAACTTTAGGTTGCTGCCATCAAAGCACGTCTTCACGGTAGCCAGAAAGGTAAATTGGTCCCAAAGAAACCCGTTGATGATGCACCGAAGGTTGATCTCCACGTGGGTTCGATAAAGATGCCCGCTCCCGCTTACAAGTTGGGCGAAAAGGTAACGCTCCGTTCTCGATAGAGCTCAATTACGATACCTTGCCAATGAATTCATTTGAAATCTCGTTAGGTTGCCACACGAGCCGCCTACGGTACCGCACTGGCCAAGCTTGGTGATGTGAATTCTCGCGTCATTGGGCTCGATGGTGACACGAAGAACTCGACTTTCTCGGAGAAACTTCTCCAAGTGAGTTATTACAGCTGTACATGATCATATCAAAAAAAGACGTCGGCATTAATTTTTTTTTGTTACAGAAGCATCCGCAGCAATTCATAGAATGCTTCATTGCTGAGCAGAATCTTGTTGGTGTTGCAGTTGGAGCACAATGTCGTGATAGAACAATCCCATTCACCAGGCAAGTTTAGCAGCTTATGGTTAGAAATCGATTGATTTTACTGTTGTATTTTTTAGTTGAAGGCCTAAGGCACGGTAGTTTGGTTCTCAGTTTAAAATGGTTGCTGGGGTGCTGTATAAAGCGAAAGTTGCAAAAAGCGAAGTGAAACGGTCAAAAACTTGCAGACAGTCTTTGTTCTAACCGGCTCGAAAAGCAGTTCCGGACGAGTTTGCCGTTAACATCGTGCCAATAACTGCTACGATGGATGTGACTGCATGTATGTACTGATATATCCATGCAGCGCCGCAGACGCTTCATATCAATTCCTTCGCTTCGTATGGTACTTCGCAAATGAAGCGCTAGCACAGCAGCAGCAGCAGCGCGCGGACAAAAATAGGTCGAACATTTGCGGGTGAGCGGGCATGGTGGGTGTCTGGGTCGGCATGTTGCAGTTTGATAGGGCGCTATAAAGCTCCCTTGGACAAGCCCAGCAGCGCCTGCTCTGAGACGCCGAATTCTGTCCTGCTAGGTATTAGTGCTTCACGCCCTGGGGATTTATCATGTCACTTGCCTTTAGCTCTTTGCTTCTTGTTTGAATAGTAGCTCCTTCAGCATAACTCTTTGCTTCTTGTTCGAATAGTAGCTCTTTCAGCACTTTCGCTGCTTTCTTCACTCGTGCAACTGATCAAATCCGAATGGCTGCCGTTTCATTTGCTAACCTGAAATGTGTTGGATCTCATGTTGGTGTTTCAATTGGTGAGGATGGTCCGAGTCAGATGGCCCTCGAAGTGAGTTTTATTCGTGATCTGTCAGTCTCATAGTGAAGCTTTGAAACTGCATGAGAGATATTTCAATCGTTAAGGATCTGGCCATATTCCGTGCAATTCCTGGGTCAACGGTCTTTTATCCAAGTGATGGTGTGGCGGCTGAGAGAGCAACTGAGCTGGCAGCCAATACCAAGGGCGTTGTTTTCATTCGTACTGGTCGTCCAGCGCTCCCTGTGCTCTATCAGAATGAGGAACCTTTTGCTATTGGAAAGGCTAAGGTGATCACAGAAGACATCTCATCTCACAGTACTATGTTTTGACCGTAGAACTTCGAAAGAGTATGTTTTTTCTAGGTCTTGAAACAGTCTGCTAATGACAAGATCGTCTTGATCGGAGCTGGAGTGACTCTTTACGAGTGTCTGAAAGCTGCGGAGCAATTGGAGAAGTCTGGTGGGTTCCTTGGTATTTAGTTGTTCATCAGTCCAGTTACAGTATTTACGTCACAAGTTTTAGGGGTACATGCTTGCGTAATTGATCCGTTCACCATCAAGCCACTGGATCAGGAGACAATCCTTCAGCATGCTAAACGTGTTGGTGGTAAAATATTGACGGTCGAAGACCACTATCCTGCTGGTGGAATTGGAGAGGCTGTAAGTTTTATGTGCTCCAGATGCCACTTGGAAAAAAAGCACTCCGCCTGAGGCAGCGTTCAGACTTTGCGATGACCCACGTCGACGAACTATAATTGCAAATTACAAAAGCGCTTCAGTGGTATAGACGCGAATGCAGCCGCGCTGGAATCGATCGGCACTGGCCGCTTTTGTTTTGGGAGAGTGTGGTGGGATCGGAGGGTGCGCGTCGCCAAATCACACAGTCTCGTATCGATCGACACTGCCCGTTAATGTTTTGAGAGAGAATAGAGGGATAGGAGGGTATCAGATTGTGTGAGGACAGCACCTCTCATGTTATCCTATGCCTCCCTCAAACATCAAGCGGCCGGAGCCGATCGATTGGGCTGCGTTCGTATATAGCAGTCGATAGCATTGGAGCGTTGTTGTAATTGTAGCGCGTCGACGCACGTTACAGTGCGCCGGCAGTGCGGTCATCGCGGACTCTAAACGCTGCCTGAGAGAAATTTGCATTTCCTGCATCTTCAAAAAGCGACAGTTTGATCGACTGGGAAGCCTTGCAAAGCGCATTTTATATGTTTTATACCCGCGATTGTTGTACAAGTTTTTGTGGACGGTTAGAGAACGGCTCCGTGAAAACTTCTAAAAATTGAAAGCCTACGAAGCTTTTTTGGGCTAACGCCGATCGGATGATGTAGTGGTTGAACTCTAATACGGCAGCAGTATAGTATTAGGTTGTCCGGAAAGTTCTCAGCGTTTTGTGTTACTATTTTTTGTACATTCATTGCTGATTAAAAACTCATTCTCCCTTGCGTCTCAGTAGTACATCCTGAAGAGAATTTTTGCGCTATCTGATGGTATAATTGCCGTTTCACCATTGCTTGATAAACCCCTTTTCCCAAGACTTTTTGAAGCATGTCAAAAGAGCAACTTCGGACGATATTTTTCTTCAACTACAAATTGGGTCAATCCGCAGTCGAGACAGCTCGACAAATTAACCAGGTGTGGGGGCCCAATAGTGTTGGAGAAAGCACCGTGCGACAATGGTTCGACAAATTTCGTTCTGGAGATTTCAGCCTTGAAGATGAACCTCGTAGCGGTCGACCTAAAGCAATACCTGAAGGCGTTTGTGGAGGCTGACCCATCCAAAC